TGAAAAACAAAATTGAGGAATTTTAAGATTTAAAAACTTAAAATTACTTTAAATTTTCAAAAGTATAGGCAAAATTTAATCAAAAAAAATTCACAATAGTGCTTTTGAATTTAGAGTTATGAATTAATTTTAGCTTAAGAAGAATTTTTTTGAAAAAAAAATTAATAATCGCATATTGTAATTAAAACTACTCTTCTACTGTTTCCTATGACTCTTATTTTTATTATAAGATAGTTTTTTAATTTAAAAACTACATCGTAAGAATTTGAAAATAATATAGGTTTTTTTTTTTTCTTCTGAAAATATTGAAAAAGAAAAAACATACAACTGCACGACTATTAAATTACTTTTTGAAAAATTCCGCACTAAAAAATTAAACAGAAGTAAAACTCTTCCATTTTATTGTTCCGAATCTAAAAAGGAACTGCTTGTATTTGACTTGCAAACTTACTAATTTCAGATCTGATTACAGATATAATTTTCAAATCAAGATGATTCGTTTTTATTTCATAATTCAGTTTTGGCGCTAATCTTCAACCTCATGAGTGACAAAAGGTAAATAAATGGACTTACTGATTACGCATGCTCGAACATCTGAAGATTAAAATCCTGCTCGACCTGATTACAAAAATCGGAGTTTAGAATTTAAGTTTCAAGTAGTTGTTCTAAGCAATCATACCTAAAATTCAAATCTAAAAAAAAATTATTATTATCCATAAAGAGCTTGAATCCTTTATTGTGCCCTTTCCGCATATCGAAAGTTAGTTTGCGTGCGTGTCTGGATGTCGACTTCGTCATTAGATCACGGGAGAGGGGGAAATATAGGAGTGGATTAGCTATGGTTCAGGAACATTTATGTTCAACGGAAATAGACAGCTAGCTGATTTCTGATAGAAGCAAATTTATATTTCTATTGAAAATTAACCACGTCTCGTTGTACACAGCCGTTTTTAATCTTCCCAGCGCCCTAAGCATTTCAAATACTTACCAACTGTCCCTTTCCTCTTTCAGCACATACCTTGCCAATGTTGTTTCGGCAGGGAATTTCCCTTGACTCTCTTACTCTTTTTCCTTTCTTTGTATTTGCTGTTTGGAGAATCTTTCCATTACCCACCACCTATAAACCCACCGTATCCTAGACTGGCAGCCGTAAGGTAAGGATAGTGCCATGGTTTGGCCAGTCTTATTCTTTTCTTAACTTACAGAATCACGGATCACCCACCCTTTTGTAAATTGTGCAATAAATTAATGAAATCGCTTGCAATTACGGTATAAAGTATATATTATTGTTGAACAAAAGTTTTCTGCGAGCTTTGATCATTGCAAACTCATTAATGACATAATTGTAATCAACCTCCATTGCAATATCATTTTGAGCGCACAGCAACATCACTCTTCATTTTCCATAGTCAGTGGCGTAACGTACACCCCCGCAACCCCCCCCACTGCGGGGGGCCCAAAGCTTCTAGGGGGCCCAAAGCCTGACTGACGCCCTTCATGTAGATTTCCTCGAAATTCGCTTTAGATTTTTTAAAATCCAACTTTTAAGCGATTTTCCAATTGGTGATCTAACGTCATTCAAAATCAAAATTTTAATGCGCTCATTAGATATCTTTGATCCTATAACCAAATCAAAAAACATTTTTTTTCCATGTACTGTAATCCCCGTGACGAGAGATACTTTTCTTTAGTGGTGTTTTTCAAACTCAAATTACTAACAGATAAAAAAAAGTCAGATGGAGAATCGGGGATATAATGCTAGGAAGATAAAGAAATTCACACTGTTATTATTATAGTATACTTTACATTAGCTGTACAGAGAGAAAAAAAGATATGATTTACTTTTTACCGAAGTTGCAGCGTAACTTATTGGCAATTTAGTTCTCCCTCCCCCCTCAAGTATTTCATTTTATTCAGCTAAGTCGTAAATAACGTACATCTGTTATGCTTTTTTCCCGTGAAATATTATTACGATACTTGGAAAATCATAGAGAGCATTTAAATAATAATTTGGTCAGCTTTATGTGTATTGAATCAAATAAAGCATAATGAGAAACGTTTCACAAAATTGCTTTTAGAACAGACACATCTCTGTGTTCCTTTTCTATTAAAACATTTCCATCTCACTTCTCGCTTTCATTATTAGAACTGTATTTTTTTATCGGAATTTAATATTCTCGTTCAAAAAATGGCATTTTGTCAAAAAGACAAGAAGAAACGCGGCACTAAAAGGAGTGGAGCTAAAAAAACTTTGAATGTTTCTCAAAAACGAAAAATTCGAAAGGAAAAGGAGTATAATTTTCATTGTAAATGTACAAAATTGGATAGATTTTTAATATCTGTGTCGGCCGTGAACCCAATTCAAACAAAAGAAAATCTAACCTCATCAGAGCAGCATCAATTCACCATTTATTTCCAGAGAAATCTATCTACTACATTCTTTTGGCTCCTTGCCAAAGACAAGATACACAAGCAGCTTGTTTAAACCATTACATCATGACGTCACCAATAAGTAATTTAATAAATTTATCGCGTGACCCTGACAATCTGCAAGTACATAATCTTGTGCAAGTACTAGTTAAAGTAATGCTAGTGAACTTGATGAACAAATCATGGAAGTGAAAATTAATTCACAAGAAAAAACACAGTTTCGGACACTTCAGCTAATAAGGATACTCAATCTAAAGAAAAGGAGTCGTAAGATGAAAACTGAGAAAAACAGACTCGAATAGAAGTGATTTTACGCTTTATGTAGGTGCTCATATAGATACACATTTAAGGGAACAAATTTTTTTTTATATAGTCTGGGTATAAGAAATAGTAGTTGTGTTTTTATCTTAGCACGCGGAATGTATCAGCATTTTATTTCTTTTTTCATTAAATCATTTTTGCATCAAACAAAGAACTCTCTTTTTCAAGAGTGACAGTATTTATGCTAGAATATAATCGAAGTTTTGATCAAGCTCATCCCGGGATTTAGAAACGAATAAGGTAAGCGATATATTTTTTCTTTTGCAAGAATTTGAAAACGAAAATTATTTTAGTTTTCGTGTCTTTCTTAATGTATTGTTTTTATTTAAGTTACCAGGTTGTCTTTCGACTGTTGTCAGAGAGATTTTCCATTTTAATAAATACCATAAATACTCTCTTATCTTAAAGGTTATTTACTTCGTTTATTCAGACTCAGGTTGATTTTGTATTCAGTTATAAGTTTAATGTTTAAATATTTTTAGGTGATGTGTATAGGTACATTATGTTTGGTTTTGTAATCCTTTGTAAGATCTGGCTTGGGGCCCAAAACCTGACCTTGCGAGAGGCCCCTATTATTTTCCGTTACGCCACTGTAGCTATTAAGTATAGCTCATTATTCTTTTTGAATTATTAGTATAGTTACTACTAAAACAGTGAACGCAGACTTTTTCTACTTTATTTTTGTTGGTATCACTACAAACCTGTTATTTCAAAAGCTATGAAAAATATCCGTGTTTATTTTTGTTATTCTCAATACTTGGAATGAACTAATAATATATCATTTAAAAAAATTTCAAATTCTGGTTTTTAAATTTTTTGTTGTTGTTTATGTACGAAGTAGTAGATGAATGCAGACTTTTTCTAGGAAGTATGAGATCTGGCTTGGGGCCCAATTATTTTCCGTTACGCCACTGTCCATAGTAGCTCTCATTTCAGTCTTTACTCTCTTTAGGGCAGAAATTCTTCTATCATGATTCACTAGGCGGTACACATTCGGTGTAATTTTATTATTTTGTTCGCCTTTTTTCACCCTTCAGTTTCTTGAACCCGCAAAACTTTTGCGCCCAGGCACGTGCCTTGCGTACCTAAGCAGGAAATGGCCCTGTCGTTGTACAGCCCTTTCATATAACCTTCTGGCACTGTCGTAGCTAGTGATAAATAGGCCCGGTATAAAAAATTCTTTGGGGGCCCTTTTGGAAAATTATAATTTATTACATTATTTAAACTTATATGAAAATGTTAAAATATTACAAATGTTGGAGCCCTTGTAGCTTGGGGGTCCTGTATCCTTGATACGGTTGATACGTCGACAGATGACGTAATTTTATTTATAACTGAATTATTATTAAAGCAATACCATAAAATTATTCGTAGTGCTTTGTCAGATCATATTTATACGTCCGTGAGACCAGAGCCGTTTCTAACTTCCCCGGTGCCCTAGCCTCTTCAAATTGTTATGGCCCACAACACTACTTCCAGAGCACACTTCCCCTCTTTCAGATCTTACCTTTCCAGTTTAAATTGGGGTGGGATTTTCCTTGAAATTCTTCACTTTTTCCCTTTATTTGTTTTTGTTCTTCGGAGAGTCTTCTTATTATCAACCACCTACTATCAACCGGCAGCAAGAAGGAAAGGGGACAGTGGCGTGGTTTGGCCTCTCTTGTTCATTTCTTACCTTACGGCATCAAGTCCCCCCCCCCCTCTTTGTAAATTACTACAGTAAATTCATGAAATCGTTTGCAATAACAGTATACTCATTACTGTATGAACTGTTTTAAACGCTCTTTGCTTTACTATTTTTTACTTTAGATAACCTTATTCTTTGTTTGAGTCAATGTCATTGTACTTATTCAGCAAAGGTTTTCTTCGAGCTTTGATCACTGCAAAATCATTAATGATATCATTGTAAGGCACTTTCATTGTAATATCATTTTGAGTGCGTGGCAACGACATCAAACTATTAAGTTCTTTTCGTTTTCAATTCCTACTATTAGTTCACTCTCCCTTTCTCTTTCTCTCTCTCTCTCTATATATATCTTGTTCAAATTTTCAATCGTTGACAAAATACTTTCTATTCACCATTCAAGTTCAAATACATTTTTTTAAAGTAGTAGTGGCTGACAATTGATGTTAATACAGTTTTTTCAAATATTAATTCATTAATGAAATTAAAATATGAATAAATAGTAACAAAGAAAAATAATAGTCCAACAGAAAGTCCATATACTGAAAGGAAAACCTTTCGTTGTGTCCCTGTAGCGCAATGGATAGCGCGTTGGACTTCTAATCAAAAGGTAGTGGTTTTGAATATCACCTGGGATGGCCTGATTTCTGAGAATGTGATTTCTCTTTCAATATAATATTTTATTAGAATAATTTAATTTAATTAATGAACAATAACAAACAAAAAATAGTCCAACACCATATATAGAAAGGAAAATGGAAAATCGTTTTTTCTATATTTTGCCAATTAACCACTTCCCTTATATATATATTTTTAAAAAGTTGCAAAAGATCATCACATTTTTTAATTTTATTATTAAATACAAGGAAACGAAACAAAACAAAATACGCAAGTTTTAAGTAGAATTTTTAATTTTTTACAGGTTTAACAGCATTTAGTTTTAACATTAATTAACTATCCCGAGTTATCTCGGGTAAAGGGAAGAAGTTAAATTTTAGTCTTTGTATGATAGTTTTTGAAACAAGGGCCAACACTAAGTTATACCCGACATTCTGCGCGCTGGTATCCGGTCTCTTTTCTTACTGGCTCACCTCTTTACGGGAGCACAGAGTATACTGTCTCGTTGGATTAGATTTTTTTTCAGTAGCAGGAATATAATCTGGAAAATGACCAGGGGTTAACCTGAGTGGTGAAGGACTAATGCTGGGTCTTCTTGATGCGGCCAAAAACTCGTCACGATGATTTTCTGAAATTATTTTTTCAATCAGTTCCATTCTAAATATTTTGGGTGATCGTGAACCTCCTTATTTACAGTACAAAATGCAAGCTACATACACAAGAATCCCTTCCACTCTTTTCAGTGTCCACCACAATCACTCTCTGAAAAATATTATTTCTTTCACTATCTTGCATCATCGCCATTATTTTACTTTTCAACGAAACTATCCTTCTTTAGACATTACTAATCCACAAGCCAACGTGTACTATACCATAGGGAAAATATGTGACCTGTCCCGCCAAAAGATCCACGAAATCAACAAAACTTTGCAAACTGCCAATCAAAGCTGAATATTTCCTTTCATTTCGATCAGGCCGAGTAAAATCGTTATAAAACAAATCGTACTGACAAATTCTGCTTCACTCGAGTTTTCTCGGGATAATAATTAACTGCAATATACACGAGCCCAAGATAACTCGGGATAATTAGGCAAGCGGTTAATATTGTGATTCTGTCATATGTATATACATATTTATATTAATTGTAACTATTTAGTAAAAAGTAAATAAAATAAAACTTTTCCTTGTTAACCTAAGCAGGAATTGAGACTTAAAATATTTTTTTATATTACTTGCTCCATAGTAGATTTCCATACATTTCGCCCCTCAATTTTTTAAGCCCTCAAATCTTTTGCGCCTTAAGCATGTGCATAAGCGGAAAAGCGGCCCTGCGTGAGACAATGAGTTAGTAAAACGAGCTCAGTGACTTTGACCGTGATATTATAATGGGGCTGTACCTTTGTGGAAAATCAGTTCGTAAAATTTTCGGACATTCTGCAGAAGCTTAAATCCACCAATCGCGAGCGATGGAATTGCGAAGTAGGAACGTCGAAGCAGTGAAACTGCAGAAAAACGAAGTGGTAGGCAGAAAAGGGTTCGTAAACGCAGCCGTAGAGCTCTGAAAACAGTGGTGAAGCAAAGTTGCAAGTCTTCGTTGGTTGAAAAATCACACAAGAATTCTTAAGTTCATCAGGCATCAGTGCTAGCAGTAGGACTACTCGTCGAGAGTTAAAAAACCTGACATTCCACGGTTGTGCAGCTGCTCACAATTCGAGCATCACTCTCCAGATTGCCATGAATCAAAACTGTCATTAAATTATGATCATGTGAAAAGATGTTCTTTCAAGTGATGAAACAAACGCTTTATAATCTGGCAGTCTGATGAACACGTCTGGGTTTAGCGGATGCCCGGCGAGCGCTTCTTAATTGACAGCATTGTGCAACTGTAAAGTTTGGTGGTGGTGACAGCATCAAGGTGTGAGGGTTTTTTCTCATAATTGTGTCTGGGAATTTTAGTTCCTGTGATTGAAAAAAAAATGATCTTTGTGATGTATGAGGACATTCTGGGCAATACTGCTCTCACAACATCATAGCAATATTTGGGGGAAGGCTTGTTTCTCTTCCAGCAGGATAATTGCTCCATTCCCACTTCAGGCGTGGTTGGTTTGTCGCTAGCCTTCTGCACTCAAAGTTGAGGGTTCGATCCCAGTCGAAGTCGGTGGATTTTTATGATGCAGAAAATTCGACAGCAGCCATGTCGTATGATTATATGGCATGTAAAAGATCCAAAGAGTTCTGTTTGGCTTGGGTGCTCTCGGCAAAATTAAATCCAAGTAGAGGTTCGCATTTTCTAGAGCTTAAATGCCTCCCTCTGGTGAGGAAACTGGGCGTCAAAATTACTTGTGGTAATTGCTATCGCTTACATGATGTCGTGCTAAAAAGGGATACCAGATCCTGGAGAATGCACTAGATCTGCAAAGGAAATACCAATACGCAACCCCATTAAAAAAAAAAGGCTTGCGCAGCATAGTTTGACGAAATGGGTGTTCAAAAACTGGACTGGCCTTCACACAGCCCTAATCTAAATCCCATGGAACACCTTTGGATAGAATAACGTAGTCAACCAATTCGACCATTCTCACTGCCGGCACTTATTTCAACTGTGATGGACGCATGGAAGTTAATTTCTATGACCTGCTATCAAAAATGGTAGAAAGTCTCTCTAGATGTGGGCAGGCATGCAAAATGGGGACCAAATCATATTTATATATCGGAGTGATTAGTAGCCACTTTTCATCAGAACCAAAATGTGTTCTTTTGGAAAGATATCTAGTGATCGCAACGGCCAGGGAAATATTGGAGATGCACGAAGACAGACAGAGTACAAAAGCCTCCCACGTTGAGTCGGGTAGCGTTATTCTGTTGAAAAGTAAGCCTATGAGGTCTATGAAAAGAATGGTCACATTACGGGGTTAACAACCTTGTTGACATATTATGTTGTAAAGATTTCACGGATGACAACCAAAGGGACTCGGGAATCATATGAAAGCCCCCCCCCCTCTCCTTATCAAAACTCCTAAGTGTCGATGTATGTGTCGGATGACAATTAGGTGAGTATCTCATTGCTGTTCTAGAAGTCTTCAGACACTACTTCGCTAGTCATAAAGGTTCAATTTGAAGCAAGAGACAGATAATCATTGCTGGAATAATTACTATTTCAGTCTGTGACATTCTGCAGATGGCGGTGTGCTGCGGTTAAACGCGCAGTCAGCGAATTGATCTTCTCCTAGACCACAATCCCCATTCGTTGAGTCGCCTACCAATGGTCATAGCAGTTCATTGGTGTCCTGATTACATATCGAACGTTGATAAGGACGCATTAGAAGCGTCGATTTGACCGTCACTGTCCTCAACCGATACTTTCTTGACCCTCTGTTCGCAAAATTTCCGTGTCACACCAATCCAAACATCGAATTGTCCTACTACTTGATTACCCAACTTTGTTAGTCCAACTGCATGTCCTCTCTCAAATGGTGACATCGGCTGATATTGTTCGCAAATTCATCTGCGAAGCATTGGTACAATCCACCTGGGTTGACGGAACCATATTCGCATGGAAGTTATGCTTTAGCGCTGGAATATGTCTGTTTCATTCTCCGTTCAATTCTCTGGAATTCCAGCTAGTCAGTAAATGATCGCCAAAAGTTTCGTTCCATTCAGAAAACTCTTGGTGCGTTGCTCTTTTTTTATGTTAAAAAAGTATGGTTTCGGCTCGAAACCTAAGTAATAGTTATGCTATGAATATAACAATTTACTTTCGCCAAACGATTTTTATTCTTTCTCACTTTTCCTTATTAAAATATTCTGATTAAAAAAATCCTTTTCTGAAAGAGAACATATTTTTGATATTTTACAGCAGGGAACTTCCCCAAATTAAGTTGGTTAAACAATCTCGGTCATTAATCTTCTGCCCAGATCTAAGAGGTTTTTCACTTGCAGGAAGGGAAGGTCACATAATCTCAGATATTGCAGGATAAATTTTTTGCAATTACCTTCTTACATGATTCCATTTCAACCTCACTGTCGAAAAATATGTATTTGTGAAGAGAACAAAAATATCCAGTTTTGAATATAGAATAGATTGAAGGAAAAAAAAGTCATTTTTTAAATTTCTGCAAAAATTACGATTAGTTTATGTATTGATTCAATTTTCCCTAGATTAGTGGTTTTTTTTAAAGAAAATTTTAAATAGAAAGAATTTTATTCCCTGATAATTTTTAAGATAAGCAAGTATTAATAATATCAAATATTTCACGCACATTCAGTCCTGCTTTTATTTTAACACACATATTTTTGTTAGTTTTATATGCAAGCTAAAATAATTAAAATATTCAAAATAAAATAATGTAAATATAAGCAATATTTCAAAATAACTTTAAAGTATAATCCACATGTTCAGTTATCTTTCGAAAGACATCTTAATCTTGGAACTCTTTTCCTCTTCTTTCAATTGTTCTGTCACATTGAATAAATACATGCGTGTGTGTGTTTTGCTGATTATCTGAGAAATGTGTTAAACAAGGAAATTTTTTTATACGAATTTGGCGTTAATAACATCATTATCAGTCAAAGAAGTAACGATTTACTCTCAGCAATAACAATAGGAAAAATGCAGTAGGTAACTCCCATTTTATCTAAATACGATAAAACAAGAGTAATAAAAGAATTCAACCCATCGCGATTCGGCGCAACGATAGGCCACATTTTCCATGACGAGAGTCAGATGACATATAATTATTTATTGTGTACAATTAAAAAGATTAGAACGACAAAGAGTTAAAACAGTTTTCGGAAGTTGAAACCAGAGATACAGCAAGATGATGAATGTTGATAGCAGCAAAAAAGCTCCTTTCACTTACATCTGGGCCATTGAAAACTGTTATAAATCAATTTTAATCCAAAAAATAAAAAGCCCCAAGTTCGTTGTAGATTCAATGGAGAAAACAAAATAGCGTCTTAAAATGACGCACAGCAAAGTCTCACATTTAACGCTGTACATAAAAAGAATGAAAGAAGACGA